CGGATGGGCACATGTATAAGCAAGTAGATGGGGTCGCCATGGGTTCTCCCCTAGGTGTCCTGTTTGCAAACTTCTACATGGGTACCATCGAGCAAAAAGTCTTAGTCGACATGAACTTGAAACTGGCCATATACTGCAGGTATGTTGACGACATTTTTACACAGGTACCTGATGTCAGACATCTGCAGAAGCTGAAGGAGGCAGTCGAGTAGTATTCTCTGTTTTAAATTCTAAGTTTCACGTACAAGATGGAGAAGGATGGGAAGCTGCCCTTTCCTGCTGTAACAATCATGGAAAGGAGCGGAGGTTTCCACACTGCAGTCTACACTAAGGAAACAAACATAGGAATGTGCCTCAATGCCAACAGTGACTGCCCAGACAAGTACAAGAGGAGTGTTGTTAACGCTTATGTCGACCGTGCTCTCAGCCACAGCTCAGGATGGAAGCAAGTCGATGAAGAACTCTGTAGGGTAAGGCAGGTCCTAGTCAACAACGGCTTCTCCAATGGTTTCATCTAAGACATCATAAGAAGGAAAGTGAAAAGCCATGCAACCTCTGAAGAGACAACTAACACAACACCTGTACCCCCTATTAGACTATTTTACAGGAACTTCTTTTCGACGGCTCATAAAACGGAGGAAAGTGTCCTGAAAGATATTGTTAATAGAAACGTTATCCCTACAGACAAAAATTTGAAAGTAAAATTGACAATTTACTATAAAAACAAAAAACGGCCAACCGACTCATGAAGAACTCCCCAGACATTAAGCAGAACGTCTTGAAGGAGACCAACGTCGTCTATGCCTTCAAATGCCCTCTTGGGGACTGTAAGCCTCAAAGAACTCAATATATAGGCAAGACAACAACGTCTCTTTCCAGGCGACTAACAATGCATAAGCAACAGGACTCCATTAAGGAACATATAATCTCTTCCCACAACCAGACCATCACCAGAGAAGTCCTAACAAGCAACACAGAAATCATCGATAAATACAGCGATAACTGTACACAGTTATTGCTGTGTACAGTTATTGCTGTACACAGTTATTGCTGTGTACAGTTATTGCTGTACACAGTTATTGCTGTGTACAGTTATTGCTGTACACAGTTATTGCTGTGTACAGTTATTGCTGTACACAGTTATTGCTGTACACAGTTATTGCTGTACACAGTTATTGCTGTACACAGTTATTGCTGTACACAGTTATTGCTGTACACAGTTATTGCTGTACACAGTTATTGCTGTACACAGTTATTGCTGTGTACAGTTATTGCTGTGTACAGTTATTGCTGTACACAGTTATTGCTGTACACAGTTATTGCTGTACACAGTTATTGCTGTGTACAGTTATTGCTGTGTACAGTTATTGCTGTACACAGTTATTGTCGTACACAGTTATTGCTGTACACAGTTATTGCTGTGTACAGTTATTGCTGTACACAGTTATTGCTGTACACAGTTATTGCTGTACACAGTTATTGCTGTGTACAGTTATTGCTGTACACAGTTATTGCTGTACACAGTTATTGCTGTACACAGTTATTGCTGTGTACAGTTATTGTTGTACACAGTTATTGCTGTACACAGTTATTGCTGTACACAGTTATTGCTGTACACAGTTATTGCTGTACACAGTTATTGCTGTACACAGTTATTGCTGTACACAGTTATTGCTGTGTACAGTTATTGCTGTACACAGTTATTGCTGTACACAGTTATTGCTGTACACAGTTATTGCTGTGTACAGTTATTGCTGTGTACAGTTATTGCTGTGTACAGTTATTGCTGTACACAGTTATTGCTGTACACAGTTATTGCTGTACACAGTTATTGCTGTGTACAGTTATTGCTGTGTACAGTTATTGCTGTACACAGTTATTGCTGTGTACAGTTATTGCTGTACACAGTTATTGCTGTGTACAGTTATTGCTGTACACAGTTATTGCTGTACACAGTTATTGCTGTACACAGTTATTGCTGTACACAGTTATTGCTGTACACAGTTATTGCTGTGTACAGTTATTGCTGTACACAGTTATTGCTGTGTACAGTTATTGCTGTGTACAGTTATTGCTGTGTACAGTTATTGCTGTGTACAGTTATTGCTGAACACAGACCTTCCATTCACCTGGGCTGTAGGAGACTCGAACCCTGGCCCCAGGCGAGTGAGGTAGACGCTCCGTCGCCGAGCTAATAAGTGGCCATAATAAGGAAAGTCCCAATTATTGACTTATTAAGGAACGATTATTACGACTACGTGTCTGGCCACGTGGAGAACACGTGTCTGGCCACGTGGAGAACACGTGTCTGGCCACGTGGAGAACACGTGTCTGGCCACGTGGAGAACACGTGTCTGGCCACGTGGAGAACACGTGTCTGGCCACGTGGAGAACACGTGTCTGGCCACGTGGAGAACACGTGTCTGGCCACGTGGAGAACACGTATCTGGCCACGTGGAGAACACGTATCTGGCCACGTTGAGAACACGTATCTGGCCACGTGGAGAACAAGAACACGTGTCTGGCCACGTGGAGAACAAGAACACGTATCTGGCCACGTTGAGAACACGTATCTGGCCACGTTGAGAACACGTATCTGGCCACGTTGAGAACACGTATCTGGCCACGTGGAGAACAAGAACACGTGTCTGGCCACGTGGAGAACAAGAACACGTGTCTGGCCACGTGGAGAACAAGAACACGTGTCTGGCCACGTGGAGAACAAGAACACGTGTCTGGCCACGTGAAGAACAAGAACACGTGTCTGGCCACGTGGAGAACAAGAACACGTGTCTGGCCACGTGGAGAACAAGAACACGTGTCTGGCCACGTGGAGAACAAGAACACGTGTCTGGCCACGTGGAGAACAAGAACACGTGTCTGGCCACGTGAAGAACAAGAACACGTGGAGAACACGTGTGTGGCCACGTGGAGAACAAGAACACGTGTCTGGCCACGTGGAGAACAAGAACACGTGTCTGCCCACGTGGAGAACAAGAACACGTGTCTGGCCACGTGGAGAACAAGAACACGTGTCTGGCCACGTGGAGAACAAGAACACGTGTCTGGCCACGTGGAGAACAAGAACACGTGTCTGGCCACGTGGAGAACAAGAACACGTGTCTGGCCACGTGAAGAACAAGAACACGTGGAGAACACGTGTGTGGCCACGTGGAGAACAAGAACACGTGTCTGGACAATTGGAGAACAAGAACACGTGTCTGGACAATTGGAGAACAAGAACACGTGTCTGGCCACGTGGAGAACAAGAACACGTGTCTGGCCACGTGGAGAACAAGAACACGTGTCTGGCCACGTGGAGAACAAGAACACGTGTCTGGCCACGTGAAGAACAAGAACACGTGGAGAACACGTGTGTGGCCACGTGGAGAACAAGAACACGTGTCTGGCCACGTGGAGAACAAGAACACGTGTCTGCCCACGTGGAGAACAAGAACACGTGTCTGGCCACGTGGAGAACAAGAACACGTGTCTGGCCACGTGGAGAACAAGAACACGTGTCTGGCCACGTGGAGAACAAGAACACGTGTCTGGCCACGTGGAGAACAAGAACACGTGTCTGGCCACGTGAAGAACAAGAACACGTGGAGAACACGTGTGTGGCCACGTGGAGAACAAGAACACGTGTCTGGACAATTGGAGAACAAGAACACGTGTCTGGACAATTGGAGAACAAGAACACGTGTCTGGCCACGTGGAGAACAAGAACACGTGTCTGGCCACGTGGAGAACAAGAACACGTGTCTGGCCACGTGGAGAACAAGAACACGTGTCTGGCCACGTGGAGAACAAGAACACGTGTCTGGCCACGTGGAGAACAAGAACACGTGTCTGGCCACGTGGAGAACAAGAACACGTGTCTGGCCACGTGGAGAACAAGAACACGTGTCTGGCCACGTGGAGAACAAGAACACGTGTCTGGCCACGTGGAGGACAAGAACACTTGTCTGGCCACGTGGAGAACACGTGTCTGGCCACGTGGAGGACGAGAACACGTGTCTGGCCACGTAGAGAACAAGAACACGTGTCTGGCCACGTGGAGAACAAGAACACGTGTCTGGCCACGTGGAGGACAAGAACACGTGTCTGGCCACGTGGAGAACAAGAACACGTGTCTGGCCACGTGGAGAACAAGAACACGTGTCTGGCCACGTGGAGAACAAGAACACGTGTCTGGCCACGTGGAGAACGAAAACACGTGTCTGGCCACGTGGAGGACAAGAACACTTGTCTGGCCACGTGGAGAACACGTGTCTGGCCACGTGGAGGACGAGAACACGTGTCTGGCCACGTAGAGAACAAGAACACGTGTCTGCCCACGTGGAGAACAAGAACACGTGTCTGGCCACGTGGAGGACAAGAACACGTGTCTGGCCACGTGGAGAACAAGAACACGTGTCTGGCCACGTGGAGAACAGGAACACGTGTCTGGCCACGTGGAGGACAAGAACACGTGTCTGGCCACGTGGAGAACAAGAACACGTGTCTGGCCACGTGGAGAACAAGAACACGTGTCTGGCCACGTGGAAAACACGTGTCTAGCCACGTGGAGAACACGTATTAGGCCACGTGGAGAACAAGAACACGTGTCTGGCCACGTGGAGAACACGTGTCTGGCCACGTGGAGAACACGTGTCTGGCCACGTGGAGGACGAGAACACGTGTCTGGCCACGTGGAGAACAAGAACACGTGTCTGGCCACGTGGAGGACACGAACACGTGTCTGGCCACGTGGAGAACAAGAACACGTGTCTGGCCACGTGGAGAACACGTATTTGACCACGTGGAGAACAAGAACACGTGTCTGGCCACGTGGAGAACACGTGTCTGGCCACGTGGAGAACACGTGTCTGGCCACGTGGAGAACACGTGTCTGGCCACGTGGAGAACACGTGTCTGGCCACGTGGAGGACGAGAACACGTGTCTGGCCACGTGGAGAACACGTGTCTGGCCACGTGGAGAACACGTGTCTGGCCACGTGGAGAACACGTGTCTGGCCACGGGCGGCGTTGGTGGGTGGCGTTGGTGGGCGGCGTTGGTGGACGGTGTTGGTGGGCGGCGTTGGTGGGCGGCGTTGGTGGGCGGCGTTGGTGGGTGGCGTTGGTGGGCGGCGTTGGTGGGCGGCGTTGGTGGGTGGCGTTGGTGGGCGGCGTTGGTGGACGGTGTTGGTGGGCGGCGTTGGTGGGCGGCGTTGGTGGGCGGCGTTGGTGGGCGGCGTTGGTGGGCGGTGTTGGTGGACGGTGTTGGTGGGCGGCGTTGGTGGGCGGCGTTGGTGGGTGGCGTTGGTGGGCGATGTTGGTGGGTGGCGTTGGTGGGTGGCGTTGGTGGGCGGCGTTGGTGGGCGGCGTTGGTGGGCGGTGTTGGTGGGCGGTGTTGGTGGGCGGCGTTGGTGGGTGGCGTTGGTGGGTGGTGTTGGTGGGCGGTGTTGGTGGGTGGCGTTGGTGGGCGGCGTTGGTGGGCGGCGTTGGTGGGCGGTGTTGGTGGGCGGCGTTGGTGGGTGGCGTTGGTGGGTGGTGTTGGTGGGCGGTGTTGGTGGGTGGCGTTGGTGGGCGGTGTTGGTGGGCGGCGTTGGTGGGCGGTGTTGGTGGGCGGCGTTGATGGGTGGCGTTGGTGGGCGGTGTTGGTGGGCGGTGTTGGTGGGCGGTGTTGGTGGGCGGTGTTGGTGGGCGGTGTTGGTGGGCGGCGTTGGTGGGCGGCGCAGGTGGGTGGCGTTGGTGGGCGGTGTTGGTGGGCGGTGTTGGTGGGCGGAGCAGGTGGGCGGAGCAGGTGGGTGGCGCAGGTGGGCGGCGTTGGTGGGCGGCGCAGGTGGGCGGCGTTGGTGGGCGGCGCAGGTGGGCGGCGTTGGTGGGCGGCGCAGGTGGGTGGCGTTGGTGGGCGGCGCAAGTGGGCGGCGCAGATGGGCGGCGCAGGTGGGCGGCGCCGGTGGGCGGGGCGGTGAGGAAACTCGTCTCATGATTGGCTGGAGGAGAGCTGAGGCGGCTGGCCGGGAGGAGGTAACAGCCAATCACAGCCCGCCATGGATGGTGGGAGTGACGTCACCAGTGTTAAGTTCTTTATTACGTGTTCTTGTTCTCCACGTGGCCAGCACGTGTTCTTGTTCTCCACGTGGCCAGCACGTGTTCTTGTTCTCCACGTGGCCAGCACGTGTTCTTGTTCTCCACGTGGCCAGCACGTGTTCTTGTTCTCCACGTGGCCAGACACGTGTTCTTGTTCTCCACGTGGCCAGACACGTGTTCTTGTTCTCCACGTGGCCAGACACGTGTTCTTGTTCTCCACGTGGCCAGACACGTGTTCTTGTTCTCCACGTGGCCAGCACGTGTTCTTGTTCTCCACGTGGCCAGCACGTGTTCTTGTTCTCCACGTGGCCAGCACGTGTTCTTGTTCTCCACGTGGCCAGACGGGTGTTCTTGTTCTCCACGTGGCCAGCACGTGTTCTTGTTCTCCACGTGGCCAGCACGTGTTCTTGTTCTCCACGTGGCCAGACACGTGTTCTTGTTCTCCACGTGGCCAGACACGTGTTCTTGTTCTCCACGTGGCCAGACACGTGTTCTTGTTCTCCACGTGTCCAGACACGTGTTCTCCACAGGCCAGACACGTGTTCTCCACGTGGCCAGACACGTGTTCTTGTTCTCCACGTGGCCAGACACGTGTTCTTGTTCTCCACGTGGCCAGACACGTGTTCTTGTTCTCCACGTGGCCAGACACGTGTTCTTGTTCTCCACGTGTCCAGACACGTGTTCTCCACGTGGCCAGACACGTGTTCTTGTTCTCCACGTGGCCAGACACGTGTTCTTGTTCTCCACGTGTCCAGACACGTAATCTTGTTCTCCACGTGTCCAGACACGTGTTCTTGTTCTCCACGTGGCCAGACACGTGTTCTCCACGTGGCCAGACACGTGTTCTTGTTCTCCACGTGGCCAGACACGTGTTCTTGTTCTCCACGTGGCCAGACACGTGTTCTTGTTCTCCACGTGGCCAGACACGTGTTCTTGTTCTCCACGTGGCCAGACACGTGTTCTTGTTCTCCACGTGGCCAGACACGTGTTCTTGTTCTCCACGTGGCCAGACACGTGTTCTCCACGTGGCCAGACAAGTGTTCTTGTTCTCCACGTGGCCAGACACGTGTTCTTGTTCTACACGTGTCCAGACACGTGTTCTTGTTCTCCACGTGTCCAGACACGTGTTCTTGTTCTCCACGTGGCCAGACACGTGTTCTTGTTCTCCACGTGGCCAGACACGTGTTCTTGTTCTCCACGTGGCCAGACACGTGTTCTTGTTCTCCACGTGGCCAGACACGTGTTCTCCACGTGGCCAGACAAGTGTTCTTGTTCTCCACGTGGCCAGACACGTGTTCTTGTTCTCCACGTGGCCAACGCGTGTTCTCCACGTGGCCAGACACGTGTTCTCCACGTGGCCAGACACATGTTCTTGTTCTCCACGTGGTCAGACACGTGTTCTTGTTCTCCACGTGGCCAACGCGTGTTCTCCACGTGGCCAGACACGTGTTCTTGTTCTCCACGTGGCCGACACGTGTTCTCCACGTGGCCAGACACGTGTTCTCCACGTGGCCAGACACGTGTTCTTGTTCTCCACGTGGCCAGACACGTGTTCTCCACGTGGCCAGACACGTGTTCTCCACGTGGCCAGACACATGTTCTTGTTCTCCACGTGGTCAGACACGTGTTCTTGTTCTCCACGTGGCCAGACACGTGTTCTTGTTCTCCACGTGACCAGACACGTGTTCTTGTTCTCCACGTGGTCAGACACGTGTTCTTCTTCTCCACGTGGCCAACACGTGTTCTTGTTCTCCACGTGGTCAGACACGTGTTCTTGTTCTCCACGTGACCAGATACGTGTTCTTGTTCTCCACGTGGTCAGACACGTGTTCTTCTTCTCCACGTGGCCAGACACGTGTTCTCCACGTGGCCAGACACGTGTTCTTGTTCTCCACGTGGCCAGACACGTGTTCTCCACGTGGCCAGACACGTGTTCTCCACGTGACCAGACACGTGTTCTTGTTCTCCACGTGGTCAGACACGTGTTCTTCTTCTCCACGTGGCCAACACGTGTTCTTGTTCTCCACGTGGTCAGACACGTGTTCTTGTTCTCCACGTGACCAGATACGTGTTCTTGTTCTCCACGTGGTCAGACACGTGTTCTTCTTCTCCACGTGGCCAGACACGTGTTCTCCACGTGGCCAGACACGTGTTCTTGTTCTCCACGTGGCCAGACACGTGTTCTCCACGTGGCCAGACACGTGTTCTCCACGTGGCCAGACACGTGTTCTCCACGTGGTCAGACACGTGTTCTTGTTCTCCACGTGGCCAGACACGTGTTCTCCACGTGGCCAGACACGTGTTCTTGTTCTCCACGTGGCCAGACACGTGTTCTTGTTCTCCACGTGGCCAGACACGTGTTCTTGTTCTCCACGTGGCCAGACACGTGTTCTTGTTCTCCACGTGGCCAGGCACGTGTTCTCCACGTGGTCAGACACGTGTTCTCCACGTGGCCAGACACGTGTTCTCCACGTGGCCAGACACGTGTTCTCCACAGGCCAGACACGTGTTCTCCACAGGCCAGACACGTGTTCTCCACGTGGCCAGACACGTGTTCTCCACAGGCCAGACACGTGTTCTCCACGTGGCCAGACACGTGTTCTCCACGTGGTCAGACACGTGTTCTCCACAGGCCAGACACGTGTTCTCCACGTGGCCAGACACGTGTTCTCCACAGGCCAGACACGTGTTCTCCACAGGCCAGACACGTGTTCTCCACAGGCCAGACACGTGTTCTCCACAGGCCAGACACGTGTTCTCCACGTGGCCAGACACGTGTTCTCGTTCTCCACGTGGCCAGACACATGTTCTTGTTCTCCACGTGGCCAGACACGTGTTCTTGTTCTCCACGTGGCCAGACACGTGTTCTTGTTCTCCACGTGGCCAAACACGTGTTCTCGTTCTCTACGTGGCCAGACACGTGTTCTTGTTCTCCACGTGGCCAGACACGTGTTCTTGTTCTCCACGTGGCCAAACACGTGTTCTCGTTCTCTACGTGGCCAGACACGTGTTCTTGTTCTCCACGTGGCCAGACACGTGTTCTTGTTCTCCACGTGGCCAAACACGTGTTCTCGTTCTCTACGTGGCCAGACACGTGTTCTTGTTCTCCACGTGGCCAGACACGTGTTCTCCACAACACCGCCCACCAACACCGCCCACCAACGCCGCCCACCAACACCGCCCACCAACGCCGCCCACCAACACCGCCCACCAACACCGCCCACCAACACCGCCCACCAACGCCGCCCACCAACACCGCCCACCAACGCCGCCCACCAACACCGCCCACCAACACCGCCCACCAACGCCACCCACCAACGCCGCCCACCAACACCGCCCACCAACACCGCCCACCTACGCCGCCCACCAACGCCGCCCAACTGCGCCGCCCACCAACGCCGCCCACCAACGCCGCCCACCTGCGCCGGCCACCAACGCCGCCCACCAACGCCGCCCACCTGCGCCGCCCACCGACGCCGCCCACCTGCGCCGGCCACCAACGCCGCCCACCAACGCCGCCCACCTGCGCCGCCCACCAACGCCGCCCACCTGCGCCGCCCACCTGCGCCGCCCACCTGCGCCGCCCACCAACGCCGCCCACCTGCGCAGGCCACCAACGCCGCCCACCTGCGCCGCCCACCAACGCCGCCCACCAACGCCGCCCACCAATGCCACCCATCCTCGCCGCCCACCCTGGTGGGTGGTATTAACACGGGCGGGGGTGAGTGTGGAGAGCCAGGTGTGGGGGGGTGGGACACAGGTGTGGGACTAACATCTGTACACTCATTAATGGGAACACTTGTGCTGAGTCTGCCAGCGCCCCTACACCTGCACGCACACACACACACACACACACACACTCACGCACACACTCACACACTCACGCGCACACTCAAGCACACACACTCAAGCACACACACACACACACACACACACACACACACACACACACACACACACACACACACACACACACACTCAAGCACACACACACACACACACACACACACACACACACACACACACACACACACACACACACACACACACACACACACACACTCACGCACACACTCACACACTCACGCGCACACTCAAGCACACACACTCAAGCACACACACACACACACACACACACACACACACACACACACACACACACACACACACACACACACACACACACACACACACACACACACACACACATACACACACACTCACGCACACACTCACACACTCACGCGCACACTCAAGCACACACACTCAAGCACACACACACACACACACACACACACACACACACACACACACACACACACACACACACACACACACACACACACACACACACGCACACTCACATACTCACACACGAATTAAACATTAAAGTGAAACACTAAACGAAAAGTTCCAAAGTGTGTTTGTACAAAATGAAATCTTCAGAGAACCAGATACAATAAGACTTCTAGAGAACAACACAGAGCACATAGAGCTGTCTAGAGACGAAGTGGAAAAAATGCTCAAGGAGCTAAGTAAGAACAAGGCAGCTGGTCCAGATGGAGTTTCACCATGGGTTCTGAGAGAATAATAATAATAATAATAATAATTTTTATTTAGGTAAGGTACATACATAAAGATATTTTACAAAGTTTGTTGGCTTTATAGATAGAGCTAGTACATACAATGCCTAAAGCCACTATTACGCAAAGCGTTTCAGGAGAATGTGCACCTGAGCTCTGCATTCCTCTTCAACTGATCTTTCAGGCATCCCTGTGTACAGGAGTTGTAGCTGATGTGTGGAAACAGGCTAACATAGTTCCAATCTACAAAAGTGGCAGCAGGGAAGACCCCCTTAATTATAGACCTGTATCATTGACAAGTATAATAGTCAAAATATTGGAAAAAATAATTGAAACTAAATGGGTAGAACACCTGGAGAGAAATGATATAATATCAGACAGACAGTATGGTTTTCGATCTGGAAGATCCTGTGTATCGAATTTACTCAGTTTCTATGACCGAGCCACAGAGATATTACAGGAAAGAGATGGTTGGGTTGACTGCATCTATCTGGACCTAAAAAAGGCTTTCGACAGAGTTCCACATAAGAGGTTGTTCTGGAAACTGGAAAATATTGGAGGGGTGAGAGATAAGCTTTTAACATGGATGAAAATTTTTTTGACTGATAGAAAAATGAGGGCAGTGATCAGAGGCAATGTATCGGAATGGAGAAATGTCACAAGTGGAGTACCACAGGGTTCAGTTCTTGCACCAGTGATGTTTATTGTCTACATAAATGATCTACCAGTTGGTATACAGAATTATATGAACATGTTTGCTGATGATGCTAAGATAATAGGGAAGGATAAGAAACTTAGATGATTGTCATGCCCTTCAAGATGACCTGGTCAAAATAAGTATATGGAGCACCACGTGGCAAATGGAATTTAATGTTAATAAATGTCATGTTATGGAATGTGGAATAGGAGAACATAGACCCCACACAACCTATATATTATTTGAGAAATCTTTAAAGAATTCTGATAAAGAAAGAGATCTAGTGGTGGTTCTAGATAGAAAACTATCACCTGAGGACCACATAAAGAATATTGTGCGAAGAGCCTATGCTATGCTTTCTAACTTCAGAATTGCTTTTAAATACATGGATGGGATATACTAAAGAAATTGTTCACGACTTTTGTTAGGCCAAGCCAGAATATGTAGCGGTTGTGTGGTGCCCATATCTTAAGAAGCACATCAACAAACTGGAAAAGGTGCAAAGACATGCTACTAAGTGGCTCCCAGAACTGAAGGGTAAGAGCTACGAGGAGAGGTTAGAGGCATTAAATATGCCAAAACTTGAAGACAGAAGAAAAAGAGGTGATATGATCACTACATACAAAATTGTAACAGGAATTGATAAAATCGATAGGGAAGATTTCCTGAGACCTGGAACTTTAAGAACAAGAGGTCATAGATATAAACTAGCTAAACACAGATGCCGAAGAAATATAAGAAAATTCACTTTCGCAAACAGAGTGGTAGACCGTTGGAACAAGTTAGGGGAGAAGGTGGTGGAGGCCAAGACCGTCAGTAGTTTCAAAGCGTTATATGACAAAGAGTGCTGGGAAGACGGGACACCAGGAGCGTAGCTCTCATCCTGTAACTACACACACACACACACACACACACACACACACACACACACACACACACACACACACACACACACACACACACACACACACACACACACACACACACACACACACACACACACACACACACACACCCACACACCACACACACACACACACACACACACACACACACACACACACACACACACACACACACACACACACGCACACAAGACATGATGGGCTACATCACGCAGAAGTGCAAGGACGCAGCAAACAAGTTTGTCCCAGCCCAAAAGGAGAAAAGAGAAATGCAGATGAGAAACCTAGGTTTAATCAGAGATGTAGGCTAGCTAAGCAGCAAAGTAAAAGGGCATGGAGAAACTATAGGAATAACAGGACACTGGAGAGCAGAGAAAGATACCAGAATGCCAGGAATGAATACGTCAGGATGAGAAGAGAGGCAGAAAGACAATACGAAAATGACATCGCAAGCAAGGCAAAGACTCAGCCTAAATTGTTGCATAGCCACATCAGGAGAAAAACAACAGTAAAGGAACAGGTTATGAAATTAAGGAGAGGGGACGAAGGATTCATTACAAATGACAAGGAAGTGTGTGAGGAACTGAATAAGAATTTCCAAGAGGTCTTCACCTTAGAGCAAGGAGAAATCCCAGAGATAAGAGAGGGAGTAGCTAACCAGGAACCACTTGAAGAGTTTGAGATTACCAGCGGGGAAGTAAGGAAGTGTTTACTAGAGTTGGATGTGACAAAGGCTATAGGCCCAGATGGAATCTCCCCTTGAATACTAAAGGAAGGAGCAGAAGAACTGTGCCTGCCACTCTCCATAGTGTACAACAAATCACTGGTAACAGGGGAACTGCCAGAAATTTGGAAAGCAGCTAACGTAGTCCCGATATACAAGAAAGGGGATAGACAGGAGGCACTGAACTACAGGCCAATGTCCCTAACCTGCATACTATGCAAGCTGATGGAGAAGATTATGCGAAGAAAGCTAGTGGAACATCTGTAGCGAAAGAACTTTGTAACACAGCATCAATATGGGTTCAGGGATGGCATGTCCTGCCTCACAGGGTTACTTGAATTCTACGACCAGGCAACAAAAATAAGGCAAGAAAGAGATGGGTGGGCAGACTGCATATTTTTGGATTGTCAGAAAGCCTTTGATACAGTGCCACACAAGAGGCTAGTGAAAAAATGGAGATGCAGGCTGGAGTGAAAGGGAAGGTACTCCATTGGATACAGGAGTACCTAAGCAACAGGAGACAACGAGTCAGTGTGAGGGGTGAGGTCTTAGATTGGCAAGACGTTACGAGTGGAGTCCCGCAGGGGTCAGTCCTTGGACCTATACTGTTTCTGGTATATGTAAATGATCTCCCAGAGGGTATAGAATCGTTTCTCTCAATGTTTGCCGATGATGCAAAAATTATGAGGAGGATTGAAACTGAGGACGATAGTAGGAGGCTACAAGATGACCTAGACAGACTGAGTGAATGGTCCAACAAATGGCTGTTGAAGTTCAACCCGAGTAAATGCAAAGTAATGAAACTAGGCAGTGGAAACAGGAGGCCAGACACAGGATACAGAATAGGAGATGAAGTACTTAATGAAACGGACAGAGAGAAAGATCTAGGAGTTGATATCACACCAAACCTGTCTCCTGAAGCCCACATAAAGAGAATAACGTCTGCGGCATATGCGAGGCTGGCTAACATCAGAACAGCGTTCAGGAACCTGTGTAAGGAATCATTCAGAATCTTGTACACCACATATGTAAGACCAATCCTGGAGTATGCGGCCCCAGCATGGAGCCCGCACCTTGTCAAGCACAAGACGAAGCTGGAAAAAGTCCAAAGGTATGCCACTAGACTAGTCCCAGAACTAAGAGACATGAGTTCATACATGGCACTCTGACAGTGGATGGGAAGAAGATTGTGATCTTGATACTCTACAATCCCCCACCAAACAGTAGAAGGCCCAGGCAGGAGTACGAGGACAGCAACAAGACATGTATAGATGAACTGCAGAAGGCAGCGACTATAGCGCATAGAATGAGAGCGAAGCTGCTGGTCATGGGGGACCTAAATCATGGAGAGATAGATTGGGAAACGAGGAACCCCCATGGCGGGGAGGAGACCTGGAGAGCGAAGCTGGTAGACGTTATTGACAGGAATTTCCTGACACAGCATGTGAAGGAAGATACTAGGGAAAGAGGAGGGGATGCGCCCAGCCTATTAGACCTGATTTTCACCCGGAATGTAGAAGACATCGAGCAGTTGGAACATGAAATACCACTAGGAGCCAGTGACCATTGTGTCCTAGTCTTTGACTACATGATTGAGCTTAAAATTGTGACCAAAGGACAAGAGGTCCGGGAAAGGAGACTTGATTACAGAAAAGGGGACTACAGAAGGATAAGGGACTACCTGGGAGAAGTGCAGTGAGAGGAAGAAATTAGAGGAAAATCAGTGCAAGATATGCAAGATAAATCAGTGCAAGAGGCAAATGTCGTACCGATCTTCAAGAAAGGAGATCATTCAGAAACCTAAGTAAGGAAGCATTTAGGGCGCTTTACACTGCCTACGTGAGGCCAGTCTTAGAGTATGCCGCCCCATCATGGAGTCCCCACCTGAAGAAACACATAAGGAAATTGGAAAAGGTTCAGAAGTTTGCAACAAGACTTGTCCCAGAGTTAGGAGGGATGGGGTATGAAGAGCGTCTGAAGGAACTGAACCTTACGACACTAGAAAAAAGAAGGGAGAGGGGGGGACATGATAAGAACGTATAAGATACTCAGAGGGATTGACAGAGTGGACATAGACGAAATGTTCACACGGAATAGTAACAGAACGAGGGGACATGGATGGAAGCTGGAAACTCAGATGAGTCACAGATATGTTAGGAAGTTTTCTTTTAGCGTGAGAGTAGAGGGAAAATGGAATGCACTTCAGGAACAGGTTGTGGAAGCAAATACTATTCATAATTTTAAAACCAGGTATGATAGGGAAATGGGACAGGAGTCATTGCTGTAAACAACCGATGCTCGAAAGGCGGGATCCAAGAGTCCATGCTCGATCCTGCAAGCACAAATTAGATGAGTTCAAATAAATGATTGCAGATAAGTGAGAACACTCTTCAGCACGGGTGGGACACGAACAAGGGGACACAGGTGGAAACTTAGTACCCAGATGAGCCACAGAGACGTTAGAAAGAATTTTTTAGTGTCAGAGTAGTTAACAGATGGAATGCATTAGGCAGTGTTGTGGTGGAGAGGGTGTATGGAGAAACTGTGTATGGAAACTCCATACACAGTTTCAAGTGTAGATATGATAGAGCCCAGTAGGCTCAGGAACCTGTACACCAGTTGATTGACAGTTGAGAGGCGGGACCAAAGAGCCAAAGCTCAACCCCCGCAAGCACAAGTAGGTGAGCTCACACACACACACACACACGAGTAGGAGTCTTTCGTGCGTGGAACTGTTTCAAATACTTTCTGACAGTCAAGGAATATACAGTCCGGCCCTCCCTCTCCCTCTTGTGAGGGACCAGTGGATGACACAGGTCATCTTCCTCTACAACTCCATCACCTTTGTCAAAATAAGACCCCAAATCTGAAGCCAGAAGCCCACATGAGCAGAGTGGGCTAATGGCTTTTGTATGGCATTCTGGCCAACATCCGGGTATCCTTTACAAACTTGACCTGTTTTAGTCCCTATATAGCAAAGGTCAGACCCACGCTTGAATATGCAGCCCCAGCGTGGAACCTTTGCCTGAAAAACGATATAAAGAAGCTAGAAAAGGTCCAAAGATATGCAACGGGACTCGTATAGGAGCTGAGGGGGGTTTGAGCTATGAGGAAAGACTGAGAGAACTATCCCTTACTAACCTGGAGGAAATAAGAGATAGAGAGGACATGATAACAACATTCAAGATTCTGAAAAGAAGTTCACAAAGTAGACAAAGCAACGTTGTTCAGAGCCAAGAACAGCAGCACGAGGGGTCAGAGATGGGGTCAACAGTAGAGGTAATGGTACACTGGACCATACTAATGGTACACTGGACCATACTAATGGTACACTGGACCATACTAATGGTACACTGGACCATACTAATGGTACACTGGACCATACTAATGGTACACTGGACCATACTAATGGTACACTGGACCATACTAATGGTACACTGGACCATACTGATGGTACACTGGACCATACTAATGGTACACTGGACCATACTAATGGTACACTGGACCATACTAATGGTACACTGGACCACACTAATGGTACACTGGACCACACTAATGGTACACTGGACCATACTAATGGTACACTGGACCATACTAATGGTACACTGGACCACACTAATGGTACACTGGACCACACTAATGGTACACTGGACCATCCAGGACACATGATGTGTCAGGACACTCAGGATACACCACACAGTGTGTCAGGACACTCAGGATACACTACACAGAGTGTCAGGACACTCAGGATACACTACACAGAGTGTCAGGACACTCAGGATACACCACACAGTGTGTCAGGACACTCAGGATACACCACACAGAGTGTCAGGACACTCAGGATACACTACACAGTGTGTCAGAACACTCAGGATACACCACACAGTGTACCAGAGTGTCAGGACACTCAGGATACACTACACAGAGTGTCAGGACACTCAGGATACACTACACAGAGTGTCAGGACACTCAGGATACACTACACAGTGTGTCAGGACACTCAGGATACACCACACAGAGTGTACCAGAGTGTCAGGACACTCAGGATACACTACACAGTGTGTCAGGACACTCAGGATACAGGACACAGTGTGTCAGGACACTCAGGATACACTACACAGTGTGTCAGGACACTCAGGATACACCACACAGAGTGTCAGGACACTCAGGATACACTACACAGTGTACCAGAGTGTCAGAACACTCAGGATACACTACACAGTGTACCAGAGTGTCAGAACACTCAGGATACACTACACAGTGTGTCAGGACACTCAGGATACACCACACAGTGTGTCAGGACACTCAGGATACACTACACAGTGTGTCAGGACACTCAGGATACAGGACACAGTGTGTCAGGACACTCAGGATACAGGACACAGTGTGTCAGAACACTCAGGATACACCACACAGTGTGTCAGGACACTCAGGATACACCACACAGAGTGTCAGGACACTCAGGATACAGGACACAGTGTGTCAGGACACTCAGGATACAGGACACAGTGTGTCAGGACACTCAGGATACAGGACACAGTGTGTCAGGACACTCAGGATACACTACACAGTGTGTCAGGACACTCAGGATACACCACACAGTGTGTCAGGACACTCAGGATACACCACACAGTGTACCAGAGTGTCAGGACACTCAGGATACACCACACAGTGTGTCAGGACACTCAGGATACACCACACAGTGTGTCAGGACACTCAGGATACACCACACAGTGTGTCAGGACACTCAGGATACACGACACAGTGTGTCAGGACACTCAGGATACACCACACAGTGTACCAGAGTGTCAGGACACTCAGGATACACTACACAGTGTGTCAGGACACTCAGGATACACTACACAGTGTGTCAGGACACTCAGGATACAGGACACAGTGTGTCAGGACACTCAGGATACAGGACACAGTGTGTCAGGACACTCAGGATACAGGACACAGTGTGTCAGGACACTCAGGATACAGGACACAGTGTGTCAGAACACTCAGGATACAGGACACAGTGTGTCAGGACACTCAGGATACAGGACACAGTGTGTCAGGACACTCAGGATACAGGACACAGTGTGTCAGGACACTCAGGATACAGGACACAGTGTGTCAGGACACTCAGGATACAGGACACAGTGTGTCAGAACACTCAGGATACAGGACACAGTGTGTCAGGACACTCAGGATACAGGACACAGTGTGTCAGGACACTCAGGATACAGGACACAGTGTGTCAGGACACTCAGGATACAGGACACAGTGTGTCAGGACACTCAGGATACAGGACACAGTGTGTCAGGACACTCAGGATACAGGACACAGTGTGTCAGGACACTCAGGATACACTACACAGTGTGTCAGGACACTCAGGATACAGGACACAGTGTGTCAGGACACTCAGGATACAGGACACAGTGTGTCAGGACACTCAGGATACAGGACACAGTGTGTCAGGACACTCAGGATACAGGACACAGTGTGTCAGGACACTCAGGATACAGGACACAGTGTGTCAG